AATTAATTCTTCCTTTTTTCTAAAATTCCGTGATTCTGATAAGACTGGAAGATTAATAGAACGATTTCATAACACGTAATAACGTAATCGGTAATGATAAGCTCGTAAGGAAATGCATCGAACCGTTAGGTAAAAACAGCGATAGAAAGGGGAGTCTTGTTCTCCTCTCTCTCTCTTTCTCTCTCTCTTTCTCTCTCTCCCCTGGGCGATCCGTTCTTGAACCACCGCCGCCGTTAAGAAGTTAAGCGGTAGAAGATCGCGGGAACGGTTGTAACAGAAACATTATGCGAGTGCCAGCCGATCGGTCACGATCACGCGTATTTACCGATTTCGTCGGGAAATCGATCGCGCAAAACCGCCCGAGCTTCTCGCGTACGTTAATGGAGAACGGACCGCTTTGCATAGCAGGTCGACATGGAGAACCTGATACATCTCGATAAATCGGAGTCGTGAGTATCGAATTCGTTGCTAACGTTCAACAATTTTCGTGAATATTACCCAAAGAATGCCACCGACGGATTAAACTTTTTTACCTGAGAAATAAAAATCAATAACGTTCGTGAAGGTTGACGATTTTTAACACTTATTTCTTATTTTATGCTTCTTCGATTTTTTTTTTTATTTCTGTTATTTAATATATGACAACTGGAACTGTGGATGATAATGTTCTGATTAAATTGTTAATTCTACAGATATATAATAATTATATACCATGTATTATTAATGGTTTTTTCAATGTGCAGAATTCTAATGTTGTGACGTTCTTTGCAACTAGAAATTGTTAAGTAAAATTCGTACGCTTATCAGTGCCACTTATATTAATCACACTTACTACGTTTGCGTTTGATAAGATCTCCGACGCGAGAAATACATTTGACAATAAAACTGTATATGAAGTGACGAGAATTCAAGGTACTGTTCACCTGTTTCGTAATTTATTATCACATTTCATTGTAAGTTACTTTCAATTTCTGAAATATGTTTCACGATTATTTATCCAGTTTCTTCTACTTCATTTAACTGGTTTGAAGAAAATCTCAACAAGTACATTCACATTTCTCTTTGATAATGATGGCAGTAACCGTAAAATGGAAAGTAGCAACGGCATACGCCTATAAATGTGGCACACCATTACATTATTTATATAAAACATAGCTA